CGACTGGTACAGCATGTGATCCGTAGCTTATATGACTAGAGACCAGAAGAACTAGAAGGTGCCTGGCTACTGTTGTCAACCACTTGGAAAGGAAGATCCTGGATAGAGAGGAAGAACATTGTGGAACAAAACTCAAAATCATTTGGCAAAAAAAAAGTGGGATCAGGTTTGCTGGTCTGATAGAGCCTGGTAGAACCATTGAGACTATGGTGCCCCAGCTGCCCTTCAGGTCTGGAATTGAACCCACACCTGTGGCTTCCAGCCAACAAAAGATAGGCATATGAGCTGAACATGTACCTGAGGTAGATACACTCCTTGGAGAGAACAATCATGGGAGAAAGAAGGGCTGTTTATGCACAGGGAGACAGCTCAGTGGGCAGGAGTGCATGGAGGGATGGACACAGGGAATAAATGGGTGACTGTCGGAAGGAAGTGGGAGGGGAACTATAAAAGAAAAAAAAAGATGTAGTCATTCTTTTAACAAGTATTTATTGTATGGCTGTGATGTACTGTCCCCACGTACTGTGTAGGTGTATGCGCTTAGGTGTAGGTGTATGCGCTTAGGTGTAGGTATCACTTTTCTCCTCTGGTAACACATGCAGCTCCCAAAAGTCCTTCAGAATAATAAGTGACCAGTCAGGATTCCCAACAGGATTTTTATTTATGTTATTTATTTATTTATTTACTTACTTACATTTCTTCTGGCTTACATTTCTATTACTTGAATTAGATGAAATGGTTCTATAAGTCTTTATTATCAGTGCTATATTTAAAGAAAATACTGATTTCTTTATTGTGCTATCTTAAGTGCACACACACGTTTGATAAACTTTTTATTTAGGGATAATTTAGATTTACAGAAAAGTTGAAAAGGTAGTACACAGAGTTCCCCTGTAACTCCTCACCTAATTTTCCCCCTTCTCACATTGCCATGATATATTTATCAAATCTAAGAAACTGGCCCTGCTGCATTGCTGTGACCTAAACTCTAGGTTTTATTTGGATTTCCCAGTTTTCCCATTAACATCCTTTCTGTTCTAGGATCCAGTCCAAGGTACCACACTGTGTTTGGTTGTGATATCCCAGTGGCCTCTAGTTTGTTTTTTTATGACTTTGACATTCTTGAGGAGTACTAGCCAAGTACTAGCCGTGTATCCTGTAGAGTATCTGGGTTTGTCAGATGTTTTTCTCATGATTAGACTGGGGTTATAGGTTTTTGGAAAGAATACAACAGAGAAGTGCTCTTCTCATCACATCATACCAGGAGTTATTTGATACCCACATGACATCACTGGTGAGGTAAACCTTCATCACATGGTTAAGATAGTGTTTGCTAGGTTTCTGTAAAGTTACTATTTTCCCTTCTGCTATTCTGTATGGAAAAAAGTTACTAGATTTGTGGGGGTAGAGAATTAAACTTCGTCTTCTATGGGGGGAGTATATATACATATTATTTGAAATTCTTCTATAACAAAGATCTGTGTTTTCTCCCCATTTATTTATTTGTTTAATAATTTCTTTCTATCAGTATGGACTTTTGCCAAACCTTGGTTATTTAACTCTGAAACCAGTGCTCTTTCTGCTACACCAGGCAAAAAATAACAAGAACCTATAAAAGGCACTGGTTTCAGAGAAATTTATTCCACGTTTCAGAGACCTTGAAGAGGTAGATTTGATAAGACTTGCTGACCTTGGAGTGGTGGAGAGGGAATGTTTAAAATGACACTCAAGTTCTCCTTTGAGTGGCTGGAAATAAAATTTTAGTTTGAAACATATTTACTAATAGATAAGAAGATTGGCTCTAGGCTTTAATGGCACTCAGCTTCTTCAGAGACTGTATTTAGCGTACATTTCACCCAGCTTCCTGGAGAGCCCAGATGACTCAAGTCAGAGCAGAGAAAACTACTTTTCACTCTGATAGAAAGATTAGGGCCCCTTAGTAGGTAGCCCCCCGATATCCTGGGTCCTGTTTCTTGTCTAAAGGACTCTTGGTTTTGGTTTTGGTTTTTTGGTTGTGGATTTCTCCCCTAGTTCATTTGCAGAGCAGAAATACTTGATTCTGTTCTCTGACAAATTACTAAATCCATTCCATTTCAGAGTTTTCAGTTCACCCCAGTTTGTGACTTCCTTGTGTTCAATAAGAGGACATTTTCTCTCTGACACTCAGCCTATGCTCCAGTCTCTAAACCTTGTATTAAATGATTGCCTCTTCTTCCATCTGGTGCTATATTAATGTTAATTCTTTGTTTCAGAGCCATCATCAACCACTTTAACCCCAAAATTGAGTCCTATGCTGCTGTGAATCACATATCCCAGCTGTCAGAGGAACAGGTAAGCTTCTATGCTCCCTAGAGTGACCCCAATCTGGTTAGGATTAAGCAATTGCCTTTTCTCTGATGGCACTGAGATTCTGTGACTGAGACTGCTGGGGGGTAGCAAGAGCCAGGCTGCTGGGAGAGATTAGTATAGGATTGGCTGATAGTGCATTAAATGGGGAGTGATGGCTTCTACTTCTGTGCCACCTGATGGGCTCATTTAATTATACAAAAGATAATGTAGGTGAAATTTGGTGAACTATTATTTTATAGTGGATGATAAGGCATTTCTTTTTTTAATTTTAGGCAGACAGTCATTTTGATTTTTGAAAATAAGAAATGAGAACTTAGAAATGGATGAAACTGCCAATTAGAAAAACCCTGAGTTCAGCTAATTTGAGGCAGTTTGGCTCAATTTAAAGCATGAGCCCTCATCGGGACAGATTTTCTTTAGTAATTGAATTCCCTTTGCCTTGAGCAGTTATTTCTGAGCAGGTTTTTCTATGGTATGGGTTGAGTTGGAGATGCAGATACAGTGATGTGTTTGTTTTCTTTCCTGGAGTCTGGCCTGATTTCCCCTTCTCCCACAGCGCCTGCACTTGGCTCTGCGTTATGTAAAAGTGCAAATGGGACTTCAGCATGGCTTGGGGTTCAAGTTGATATTTCAGAATGAGACTCTGAATCCTGTTTTTAAAAGCACAAAATGAAACATGATATTCACATAGTCCCCTCCCTTCCCTTCCAACTCCCCAGTTAGAGGGGCTAGAGTATTCATGAGCTGAGGGTACAAGCATTGATTCTAAAACCAGTAAGGAGACCACATATGCTCTGCTTTCCTTTTTTTTTTTTTTTTTTTGCCAGTGCATCTCATTGTAACCCTTCTCTGAGCCCTTTGCTGGCAACGCCAGCCAACCAACTATGGTGTGACCATGTGTTCCAGTGTTCCTAAATGCTATCCAGCTTGCCCAATGAGGCACCAAGCCTTTTGCCTAACAGATAAGCTTCTCATTATTCCCACCACTGGCTCTTTGCTCAACCAGATGGATAGGACTCTATTAGTCTATCAGTTGTTCCCTTTGTGACATATTTGTTCTCTTTTGTGAGGCCAGCTGTGAGAATCCATTTTCACATTTAAAACTGTTTTTATAAATGGCTTTCATTTGCCTGTCTTCTCTTCTGCCTATGGAGCAGTCCTGAGTCCTGTTCTTTGATGCCACTGCTTTCTGTGAGGTGCTCAGAGAGACTGCCTTTTGCCTGGTGGGCCAGTTCAGATCAATTTCACTATATTATTTTTATGCCAAAAGAATTCAACATCTTAAGTTATATAGAGTGAGAGAAAGGGTGACTTCCTACCGTAGTGAGTTCTAGTTAGTCTGAAGGCTTAAAAAGAAAAAAAAAAGAGGAAGAGACATTTTCTCTGTCAGCCACATGCAGTGTTCATCCCCCAGCAGCTTGGGAAGGTCAGGCTGAAATCATTCTCCAGCAGGAGCAGCCGCAGACCAATAATAAAAATCCATTCTGGCGCATGAGGCAATCTGGAAAGGATGATTAGCAAGCACGTGTCTTCACCCTCCTCCAACTTGTTTCAAAGTTAAATGAAACGATGAAAGTGCTGCTCCTGAAGAGTCCACAAGCCAAAGATGAGACAATTTTAATGGAAAAGAAGAGCATTCATTCTTATGTAAGAATGGAAAGGGACAGCAGCCGTTAAAGATTTATTCAGTTAGTTAATAAATAATTACATGCCTGCTGTATACAAGATGTGGTCCTGGGTAGTGGGGATTAATGGTGGATAACCTAAGTCTAGCCCTTACTCTCATGGAGTTCTTATACAGTCATTGCCTCTTTTAACAATCTTTTTCACTTGGGGAGTGGAGGAGGTTGATACTATTCTGGGACCCTTTTCAAAACTGCCCTCAAAATAGTTGCTGCTTCTGTTCCCTAACTGACTTTGAAGGGCGTTAAATGACAGCCTTCGGGTGTACTTGGTTTTATTCTCACCACTCTGGGATTAGAGATAGTTGACTGCTTTGCTAATCTCCCAAATGTGTTAGAGCACTTCTGTCCCTTCACTTCTAAACATTAGTGCTCATGCCACTTAATCATAAGAGTCTTCACAGCTTCTCAAAGAGCTGGCTTTTAAATGCAATAGGGCCCTGCACTTGGTAGCAACAGACTAAGTAGAAAACATCAAGAACTTAATCCTCAAGTAGATTCTAAAGTACTCCTAAAATAAAATGTAAAGACCATGAATAGGAGTTTATTTCGTTTAGTAAGTTACCACACAAGACAGAGGGCTTGTTTAGATCTGCCTGCCAAGCCTGCCATTTCCTTTGACAAGAGATTTGTGAATTCTTGGGTTTTGACCACCCATACACCTTCCAGCTTCTGTTTGAGGCATTTCAAGGTGATGCTTGTATGTCCATTATTGCTTATTTAACAGAGTATGATCTCTTATACTGAGTTTCTTTTCAGATGTCTAAAAGATAGATAGGAGCTCTGGTGATGTAGTACCTAAGGCATTTGACTGCTAACCAGAAGGCTGGTGGTTCAAACCCACCAGCCATTCCTCAGAAGGAAGACCAGGCAATCTACTTCTGTAGAGATACTGAATCTGTTAAATGTTCATTAGCTTCATGGAGGGCAAACATTTTAATTAGCTAATACCATCAATTGATAAACTGCATGAGTTTTTTTAGTGTATATGCAGGTGTCCTGTTTGTCTGGGGCTGATAGCGAAACTTACTCATTTTGACCTCTTTTTGTATTTTACATACCTTTATAAATAAAAATTATGAAAAAGATACAATGTGCTTTCCTAAGAACTGTGAAACTACCCCAGTGTATCCCCTACTATGAGTCGAATCGACTTGACTGCAGTGAGTTTGTTTTTTTAGGTTTTAGGGATTTTTTTGTTTGTTTGTTTGGCTCATCTCTAGTACATCTTAAAAAATTACCCCTTCTCAGCTGAGACGTAGCTCCTTTCTCCCCACTATGGCTTTCTGGTAAGCACCTATCCCTGGTGGAGCTGTTTGCTATGCCCAGGCAAACTTGGTCATCCGGGAATAAGGAGTCCCAAGAAGAGGAAACTACAAAGTCCAGTCGGAAGGTTTAGAACGCACAGCAGCCTGAGTGGTTTCTGACTTAGGGAGCTTTGAGGCTACTTTGATCCCTTTCATTTTCCAAGGCTGCTTTTTCTGGCTGAGTTGTGTTCACCTCCTCCAGCCCTCTCCATTCAAGGAGGACCACAAATAGTGCCACCTCAGTGCATCACCCTTGTATGTAAACCTTCCTAAATTTGATGTCTAACCTCTCCCCTACTGGTGGTCAGCCCTGTGGTTTTCATTCCCTCAGGAAAATGAGTAAGTCACACAGTTAGGGATTGAACTTTGTTTCCCCAAAATGTGTACTGGAATCCTAATTGCCTGTACCTGTGGGTATAATCCTGTTTGGGGGACAGAGTTATCTTTGTTATGTTCATGAGGCCATATCATTGTAGGGTATGTCCTAACCCTTAATCAACTTCTGAGTTACAGAAAAAGGGCATTAGACCCAGAAGAAAGCAGGCACAAATGGGAGGTGGAGTGGGATGGGGACAGATAGATGCTGCATGAAGATTGCCAAGGAACCGAGGAACACTGTGGCTGCAGAAGCTGAGACAAGGATCTTCCCATAGAGACCCTTCCCCCGTAGCCATTGCCCTGAATTTGCACTTCCAGCCTCTTAAACCGAGAAAATAAATTTTTGTTCTTTAAACCCACAATTTATGGTATTTGTGTCACAGCAGCACTAAGAAGCTAAGATTCTGGTTTCACAGAGGGACCCAGTGACCACTCTGCCTGTTGTAGTAAGTAAACGTGGATGGCAGGCATTGAAGAGCGATCTCGACTCCGGATGAAGGCTTAGGTCCTGTTGCCTTGAGGACATTGTGTCGTAATGAGGCAGTGCTCCCTTTAAAAAGAAAAGAAAGGGGACTCCTGGTAAGGTAGAGGAGTAGGCAGACATGCGACACAGACCCCCTTCAACAAAGGAAAGAAAAACCAATTGACAGAGATACAGAAGATAATCCTAGAGCCTTGGGCTTTGAAAGGAACTATACAGAAGTGGATTAGGCACCAACTGGTAGAAAAATCTGAAAAAACCTGTGAGTATAGAGACGATCGGAGCTGTGGACTGTCAGCTACTCTGACGGGACCAGCAGCCTGAGTATTTCCAAGTGGTGCTAGGACCTGAGAATTGACCTAAAGATCAGTCCTGGTCACCAAGGGCTGCAGGGACGACTGTGCTGATGGCCTATGACTAGGAAGGGAAACAGCAAGGAGGGAGACAACCTGTGCTGTTGGCTTTCTGCTGTCCAGAGGACACAGCCATTTTGATTGTTTACACATGGTGGCCATTTGGGATATTTAAAGTGACCAAGGGTGCAGCCATTTTGAATCTTTACAAGTAGCAACCATTTTGGATTTTAAAGTGATAGCATTCTCATTTGGATTCCAGGGACCTAAGAATAGGCTGTTTGCCAAGGCTGTCAGGGACATACAAGCATACAAGAGGCTGACAACAGGAAAGGAGACAGGTGGTGACTGTATAAGTGCTGTCAACTAATGAATAGAGGAACACAGCATAGTACCCTGTTTGTGTAGATAACATACAAACAAAACAAAGTAAACAAAAATCGTGGGCAAGTCACCCCAACGTACAATCACCAATTAAATATAAACACAAAAATGTCACAGTGCCTCAGAGACAACAGAGCATTACAGTCTACACAAAGAAGCAAGATAAAGCAGGAGAAACAAGGGACCAAGATACAGACCCAAAACACATCCCTGAGGAAGACACAGCATTGGAACTCCCTGATAAGGAATTCAAAAGAATTATATTTAGGTATCTTCAATGAATTGAGAGACAAATCAAGGAAAACACTGACAAAATTGAGGAAAACAGAGAAACCCTACAACAGTTTTGAAAGACAATATAAGAACAAAATGACAAAATAAATGAAAAACTAGAAAT